AATTAAAGTATTTTAAGATTTAGTTCTTTAAAAATACATTATCAGCCCAGAAATTAACCTTAGAGTTTTGAAGTGTCTTTTAATTAGAACAAAATCTTGCAGTTGACTTCTTAAATATATAGAGGGAAAGTTAAATTTTTATATGAACTCTTTTTTTTTTTTTTTGGTAGAGACAGAGTCTCACTTTATCACCCTTGGTAGAGTGCTGTGGCATCACAGCAACCTCCAACTCCAACTCCTGGGCTTAGGCAATTCTCTGCTTCAGCCTCCCAAGTAGCATTGACTATAGGCGCCCACCACAACGCCCAGCTATTTTTTTGTTGCAGTTTGGCCAGGGCTGGGTTTGAACCTGCCACCCTTGCTATATGGGGCTGGCGTCCTACCCACTGAGCCACAGGCACCTGAACTCTTATTTTTTTTTTTTTTAAGTTAAATTGGTGTTTTCTTTTACATATTTCTAAAAGATTAAGGGCTTTGAGGATAGAAATGACATGACATCCATGAATAATGAAATTGGCTTTTAAAACTGTTAAGTCAAGGCTTGGCACCTGTAGCTCAGCAGCTAGGGTGCCAACCACATATACCGTAGCTGGCAGGTTCAAACCAAGCCTAGGCCTGCCAAACAACAATGACAACTACAACCAAAAAATAGCTGGCATTTTGGTAACCTGGCCCCAGCCAAACTGTAACAAAAAAATAGCTGGGCATTGTGGTAGGAGGCTGAGGCAAGAGAATCACTTAAGCCTAAGAGTTTGAGGTTGCTGTGAGCTGTGATGCCACGGCACTCTACCGAGGATGACATAGTGAGACTCTGTCTCAAAAAAAGAAAAAAAGAATTGTTGAAGTCACATTGAAAGGAAAGATGCCACGTGAAGTTGAATCAGGATGCAGTGGCTACAAACACATGTAAGAGTGTCCCAAGAATGAGCTACCATTTATGAAGAAGCACTTCACTAAACAAACCGAAACCCTGAGGAATTTTTAAATTGTGAAGTAATGGGAACAATTATTTAATATGGAAGGAAGGAACTAGTGTATGCCTTCCTCCTTGAATTTCTCATAAGATCAAATCATGAAGTGAGATGCCTGAACCTGGGAGGATAATTTAGTGGCAGCAGAACAGATGACCATTTAGAGAGGCCAAACTCCTGAGAACTGATTGCGTTAAGGGTGGGGCTAAAATTAGAGCAACAGAGATGCATTCAGAAATAGGCTACCACTGGTGGTGTGTTTTCTTCCCCCCAAGAGGCACATGTTTACTTCTCTTAATACTTTTGAACATTCCTTTATCTGTCTTCAATCACTTTTCTCTCTAAAGGTTTGTCTTAGTAACTTTGACACATCTTAGCTAGGAGGAGTCATTTCCACCTAATCTTTTGCCTCACGTCTTATAAACATGCACATTTATGCTCAAGGGCAACCTCTAATGAACTGCATCAGTTGTCAAAATACCATCCCTGCCCCTATCTGTCTTCAGAACTGGGGTTAGTTATGGTATTTGTTTGATGTTTGTCTTGTACCAGAGCAAGGCTTTCCTGATATATTCCCAACATAACCCAGTGCCTGGCATTTGTTAGTTGATTGCCAGCAAGAGGCTTCTAGAATCCAGTCATCACCCTGCTGCAGTCTGAAGGCACATGTGGGACAGTGGTGGGTAAAGCTGGGGAGAGAAGAACTACATTCCAAAGGGGCTTGATGTCATATGAGGTCATTGTGCTAAATCTCAAGAATAATAAGAGGCCATTGGAGGATCATTAAGTCCAAGTTCATCCTTGGGTGGACATATCTCCCTTTTGCACTCTAGCTAGTGATTTCTCAATCTTAGCAAGAAAATTTAATCCACATTAATAGAAAGTATCTGTAGCACATGGAAAGCAAAGTAACATTGTATGTGCATATAATATTACTTATGGTTATGTATCCATTAAGTTTTAAAAGACATTTCCAGAGTATTTTTCTTGCAAATGTATTTATTTATGTATTTATTTATTGAGACAGAGTCTGACTTGGTCACCCTTGGTAGAGTGTCATGGCATCATAGCTCACAGCAACCTCAAACTGTGGGATTTAAATAATCCTCTTGCCTCAGCCTCCCAAGTAGGTGGGACTATAGGTACCTGCCACAATGCCTGGCTATTTTTAGAGATAAGGTCTCACTCTGGCCTAGGCTGGTCTCAAACCTGTGAGCTCAGGCAGTTCACCTGCCTCAGCCTCCCAAGTGCTGGGATTATAGGTGTGAGCTACCTCACCCAACCCTCTTACAGTTTTTAAATAAATAATTTTATGTATTTAAAGGATAACTATGCATTTATAAATTACTGGAAGAATTAAAATATTAACATTTCCATACAGAAATGAGTGTACTGACTTTGGGGATTATAATAAAAAAACCTGTAGCATTTATAGTTTTCAGAGTTAAAGAGTAATTGGTAGATAATATCTTCTCAGTAATTTGGAATTATACACCTAAAAATAAAAGGAAGTAAAAAGAATTATCTTCATCAATACAAATAATAAGAATGTTAGAACAGGTACCTTTTATACTTCAAGTTGTGCTTTTGAAGGAATTTTAAATGGAAATTATTTTTAGCTCCTATTCTCTTGAACCAAAGGATTTACAGTCCCATTCAAGTAAAATAATATATAATGTTAAACATGTATTATTTTTAAATGACTAACATTTTTATGGCTTCCAGACTAACCTTCCAAGAAACATTAGTATTCTTTTTCTTTAAGAGAGTATGCTTCTTTTCTTATTATAAAAATAATATGTGCTTATTGCAAAACATTTAGAAAACATACAGAAATCTTAAAACACGTTAATTGGATCTCATCTTTCATGTCAGTTCCACCATTTTACAAAATCACTTTTTTTTTTTTTTTAAAGTAGACAGTTTTTTAACCTGGTTCTCAAGTTCTTTGCTGTGGCTATTGCCTCTCACTAGTTCCTTTTGGGTTTTTTTGTTTGTTTTGGATTTGTGTGTGGGTTTTTTGTTCTTTTGGGTTTCTTGTTGGGTGTTTTTTGTTTGTTTGTTTGTTTGTTTTTGTTTTTTGAGACACAGTCTTGCTCTGTTGCCCCAGATAGAGTACAATGGTATCTTCATAGCTCACAGTATCCTCAAACTTCTGGGCTCAAGTGATCCTCTTGCCTCAGCCTCCCTGGAGTAGCTGGGGCTACAGGCACCCACCACAGTGCCCGGCTAGTTTTTTTTTATTTTTAGTAGCGATGTGGTCTCACTCTCGTTCAGGTTGTCTCTGAACTCCTCAACTCAAGCATTCCTCCTACCTGAGCCTCCTAGAATGCTAGGATTATAGACATGATCCACTGTGCCTGGCCCACTAGTTCCTTTTGCGTTCATTTTTCTTCTTACTGAAAATAAATCCTTGAGTATTTTTCTCAGTGAGGATCTATAAATGATTATTTTTTGCCCCCAGATACTTCAGTTCATTCATCTTCTTTAATTATAACTTAGCTAGATAGAGTAGGCAGTTTTCTTAAATACATTACATTCTTTATGATATCCTGCTAATAAGAATTCTGAAAGGTACAGTGATCCTTATTTTCTTCTTTTTTTTTGAGACAGAGTCTCACTTTGTCTCCCTCAGTTGAGTGCCTTGGCATCACAGCTCATGGCAACCTCAAACTCTTGGGCTCAAGTGTTCCTCTTGCCTCAGCCTCCCAAATAGCTGGGACTACAGGGTGTCCACCACAATGCCCGGCTTTGTTGTTATTGCAGTTGTCGTTGCTATTTTAGCTGGCTAGAACCAGGTTCGGACCTACCACCCTTGGTATATGGGGCCACTGCCCTACCCACTGAACCATAAGCGCTGCTCACCTATTTTCTTTCTTTCTTTCTTTTTTTTTTTTTGCAGTTTTTGGCCGGGGCTGGGTTTGAACCCACCACCTCTGGCATGTGGGGCTTGCGCCCTACCCCTTTGAGCCACAGACACTACCCCTATTTTCTTCTTAAAAATTGTTTCCTATACTTTTTTGCCCCTTAAAGCAGTTTTTAAAATTTACTGTGTTGATATAATAAATAATCTAATTATTTAAGTAAATGGTTATATGTGAGTCAATGCTGTATTTAATACAAAATAAAATATCCTATTTGCATGTATTATGTATGTTTGTAATATGCTCTGCATGATGCCATATATTTATTTTATGGCTAGTTTTCCAAAAGTTGCGTTTTGAATTATATTTAATTTAGATACAGCCCTGCAATAGGTCCAGAGCAGTGCTGTCTTAATAGAGGTTTCTGTGAGGATGGAAAGGTATATATCTGTGCTGTCCAGTAAACCAGCCACTAGTCCCTAGATCTTGAGTGCTGATGTATTATCTTTTATTTGCCTTTATCTCTTGTCAGGTGAATAGAAGTTTTTAATTAATAACTTGTTTAGTTTTAGGCCATCTAATTTAAGATAATTCATTTTGGCCAGGTATAGTGCCTCATGACTATAATCCTAACACTCTGGGAAGCTAAGGTGGGTGGATTGTCTGAGCTCCCAGGTTCAAGACACTGCAGCCTGAGCAAGAGCAAGACGCCGTCTCTAAAAATAGTGGGAGGTTGTCGCGGGTGCCTATAGTCCCAGCTACTTCGGAGACTGAGGCAAGAGGATTGCTTGAGCCCAGCAGTTTGAGGTTGCTGTGAGCTATGATGCCATGGCACTCTACTAAGGGCAACATAGACTCTATCTCAATAAATAAATAAATAAATAAGATAATTCATTTTTACATACAGATTTTTTCCCCCAGATTTAAAGCTGATTAACTTCTTGGTTTTATTGATTAACATTTACCTATGAAACACAGAATGAAAAGTAAGTTGTGGAATTATAATGAGATAGTTTTATGCTTAGCTAATGTGAATAGTACTGGTTTCTTCGGTATAGTCATATATATTCAGACTGTTTTTCAACTATTAAGGCTAGTATATTCTCTGAAGTTACCTCTCCTACACTAGTGTGTGTGTTAATAATGCCTTATTTATATTTTTCAGATTGCAGATAGAAGAATCTTCCAAACCTGTAAGGCTGTCACAGCAACTGGACAAAGTTGTAACAACCAATTACAAACCTGTTGCTAATCATCAGTACAATGTAAGTCATCTTCGTGTCGCTGTTCATTCTGTTTTATCTTTGTTCTTTTCTGTATTATGGAGTCTTAGGTTTTGAAAGGACCTCCACAGTTACCCACCTTGCCATCAAGTGTTTGAATTGTAGTACCTGATCCAGACTTAGTAAAGAATGTGACAACTTTCCAAGCATAGAAAATATATTTGCTCTATAAGTTATACAATGAGAAAAAGGCAACTGCTGTTCAAACCTCTCTTAATAATTCTTTACAAAGAAATGAAACACTTCAATTTTCAATATCACTAATTCTTAAAATTGCAATGTACTAAATATTTTGCTCTTTTTTTTTTCTATACCTAATGGCTAACTATAAGAGACTTTCTAATGTGTTGAAAAAATTTGTAAAGGTCATGGAGCAATGGTAGTTTTCCCCTTTGACTATTAAGATTACTTTGCCTGGCTGGTTTCAGCTTCCACAGGCATTTCTATGGTCTCATTCTACCTGACAAAGTGATGGCTGTCTGTACAGTATCCCTCTGCCCCATCCATGGTTTGTTACCTACAGCCAACCACAATCCAAAAATATTAAAGGAAGAATTCTAGAAATAAATAATTCATAAGTTTTAAATTGTGCACCATTCTGAGTTGTGTGATGAAATCTCACACTGTCTCCCTCCCTCCCACCCAGAATGTGAATCATCCCCTTATCCAGCATCTCTACAGTGTATGTACCACCCACCTGTTAGTCACTTAGTAGCCCTCTTGGTTATCAGATTGACATATCACAAGAAGAAGGGTAGGTACAATACAATAAAACATTTTGAGAAACCACATTCACTTTACTATTAAAATGTATTGTTATAATCGTTCTACTTTATTATTAGTTATTCTCTTGCTGTGTCTAATTTATAGATTAAATGTTTTCATAAGCATATAGGAAAAATTTCCTATATGCATAGGAAAAAATACCATGTATGTAGGGTGCAGTACTGCTAGTCATGGTTTCATGCATCCACTTGGAACATATCTTACAAAGATAAAGGAAAGCTAATGTATATGTTTTTATTTTTATTTACTTTTGGGAACAGAGTCTCACTTTGTTGTCCTCAGTAGAGTGCCACGGTGTAATAGCTCACAGCAACCTCAAACTCTTGGGCTCAAGGGATCCTCCTGCTTCAGCCTCCCAAATAGCTAGGACTACAGGCGCCTACTACAATGTCCAGCTATTTCTAGAGATGGGGTCTTGCTCTTGCTCAGGCTGGTCTCAAACTTCTGAGCTTAAGCAATCCACCTGCCTTGGTTTCCCAGGGTGCTAGCTAGGATTATAGGCTTGAGCCACTTTGCCCAGTCTTACATTATGTTTTTAAAGTCTTTTTTTTATTGACATGTATCTTATATATACTATATAACATACATATTTATTGTATACAGACTATGTATACTTTATATCAAGCACTATTTTGAGTGCTTCATAGACGGTGATATTTAATCTTCAGACCTACCCTATGAAGTAACTACTACTCCGGTCTTATTTTACAGATGAACTAACTGAGACAGAGAGATTAGTTTAGCTAGCTGAGGTCACACAGAAAGTATACTTGACCAAACCAGGTTTGAACCCAGCAGTCTTGTCTGAAGAGCCACACTCTTAACCACTGTGTATGTTCTAAAAGGGCCAAGGATTTATAATGTAATAAATGTGATGGTTTCCTGAAAGTAAAATACCTAAATTAAGTGGCAATTAACAGTTAAAGTCTTGTATCCTACTTTGTTGCTAAGGTTCCTCTTGGTAACTGAATTTAGAAAAAAAAACCTTCTTTAAGTGACACAGAATAGTATCTGCCAAATCACTGCTATATGATATTTGAGTTCCTTATGGTTATTTTATAAAAGAGAAGAAATGCAGATGCTTACAGAGCCAAGCAGACATCTTAAATGAGGTAAATGAAGGTGAATGTTAGGGACCGTGTGAACTGGAGTGCACATGACCCTTCTAGACACATCAGAATTTTAAAAATTGCTCTACTGTGTGGGTTAAATAAAGCAGATGAAACTTCAGCTGCATCTAGTCAGACTTCCATTTTTCCTTTTTTGAGGAAAAGTAAACTAAACAAAAAAAAAACCAGGCAAGGTAAGTGGAGACGAGGATCAGATAATTAATTCAGGAGAGGTATTTTCCTTTTGTCTTTTAATTAAATCACACAAATGCCTACTTTCTTGTCCTTTTCTACTCTTTGATGAGAAGACATACAATTTTCTAGAGCTAGGGGAAAAAGAAGTAAAATTACATAGGTCTTTGTGCTTTCTTGTCTCTTCTGATGGGGCGGGGTTCTGTACACGGTTTCTGCCCTCCTCCATGTGTATGAAGTCAGACAGTTAAATATGTAGCACTTTATCTAGGGCGAGTACTTAAACTTGATTGCCCCACCTCATACAATGACAATGTGAATGGCCATTCCGGAAAGAATTCCAAAATGGCTTTGAAGTGCACATGAGGTGCTGGTGTCAGTCCATCGGTTCCCTGATGCACTGGGAATGCTTTGAAGGGTGGTACTTTGAATGTGACTGTAGTTAAACTCAGTAACAAAGCACTTTTTCTAAGATGAGTTCCCAAACTTAGTGAGGACAAGAAGGACTACACTTTCCAGTTTGTAAGGAGCTATTTTTGTGGTGGGAGTTTTGGTAATTTGTGTCAAAAACAAAATGTTGTATCTTGTATGTAGGAGTTTATCATCGTGAGACAAGTACCCAAAGATGTATCTACAAGAATGTTTCTCTCTATTTTTTAAGATAAGACCAGAAACAAACATCCCAAATTGGGATTGGTTAAATATTTTAACTTATTATATTTGGATGATAGGATTTAGAGTGATTTTGTATTAATTTTCTTTTTTATAAAATCTTTTCCAATTGTTATATTGTCACAGTGAACATGTATTGTCTGAACTGACCGTGAGCAGTGAAGTTCTTCTAGGATGAGAAAGGAAGAAGCCTGGGAAGGAGTAATAGCCCTGATAGTACTTACCACAGTTGTCTGTCTCTCTCAACAACAAGTTTTTATTGTTGTTGTTGTTGAGTCTCACTTTGTCGCCCTTGGTAGCGTGCCGTGGCATCTTAACTTACAGCAACCTCCAGCTCTTGAGCTCAAGTGATTCTTTTGCCTCACCCTCCCCAGTAGCCGGGACTACAGGCGCCTGCCACAACACTTGGCTGTCTTTAGAGAGAGGGTCTCAGTTTTGCTCAGGCTGGTCTTGAACCCGTGAGCTCAGGAATCCCACCCGTCTTGCGCTCCCAGAGTGCTAGGATTACAGGTGTGAACCACTGTGCCTGACTTCTGTCTGTTGACACTCTACCTAGCATGTAGAGAAGGCAAATACTAATTGTCATGTTTTTAGGTGTTTTAGCATATATTTAGTACAAATGTATTCTGAACTCTTTCTTAGTATATAAAGCTGCAGCTTCCACTTGAAAACATTTAACATTAAGTGACTTTTTAGGTCAAAGTATCAACCTTTGTTAAATTAGTGATAGTGTAAACGTCATTGATGAAGGCTTTATTTACATAAAAACAAAGATGGCCTGGTATGGTGGTTCATACCTGTAATCCTAGCACTGTGGGAGGTGAGGCAGGTGGATTGCTTGAGCTCAGGAGTTCCAGCCTGAGCAAGAGTGAGACACCCCCCCATCTCTACTAAAGATAGTCTATAGATGCCTGTAGTCCCAGCTACTATGGCCAAAGGATCACTTATGCCCAAGAGTTTGAGGTTGCTGTGAGACAGAATCTCAAAAGAAAAAAAGATTGATTGTAATCTACCACATTACATTTAAATATTTAGTGATTATTTTCTGTGAGAGTATATCAGAATGAATGAGGGTCCCTGCATATATTTAAAAAGTGTGGTTTGGCACCTATAGTTCAATGGCTAGGGCTCCAGCCCCATACACTGGTGCTGATGGGTTCAAACCTGGCTAGGGCCTGCCAAACAACAATGACAACTACAACAAAAAAATAGCTGGGCATTGTGGCCGGCACCTGCAGTCCCAGCTACTTGGAAGGGTGAGGCAAGAGAATTGTTTGAGGTTGCTGTGAGATATGATGCCACAGCACTCTACCAAGGGTGACATAGTGAGACTCTGTCTCAAAAATATATACATGTATAAAGTATATTCATTATCATTATATATAAGAACTATAGAAAGAGTATAAATTTTTTGTTATTTATCAGAAGGGGACATTAATTTTGAAAAGATTAAGAAAGAACAATATAGGTCAGCAAGAATGATTTAGAAATAACATAATCAAGACATCCAATAAAAAACTTTAAACTTAATACAATTTTGAAATGTTTTCAAAGTTTTGCCAGATGGAGCTATATAAACATGAAGCCCAGTGTTTTTCATTTTAATACTGAATGCAATTTTCAGAATACAATCAAGGAAAAAAAAATTGTACAGTGACTGAAAAGAGGTGATAAAATGAATATGTTTTGTAAAACTATATTCCTACGTTTGTTCAGAAAGAGACTACCTTGCATTTATCCCCAGAAACCTTTTCACCCACCTGTGGTACAGTACATAAGTGAATTCTTAAATATAAATGAATTCTTTAAATATATATGAATATATATATATATATGTATATATGTGCATGTGTATGTGTGTGTTTGTATGTATATATGTAGAGAGAGAATATCCGGTTTTGTACTTGGATCTACTTTAAGCATTAAATTCAAATTTATCTTTTTAGTTACCAAAACTTTGGGATAATATATACCATACTCGCCTTTCAGAAAGCATTTATTGTTCTAAAAAAAAATTACACAATTAGTATTATCTCCTAGAATACACGTTCTTGAAATTGCAGTCTTGAATACCTTCTTCTTGCTAGGATATGACCTGTTGGGTTTTTCCATAAAGGACATTTCCTGTGCATTTTGAATCTGTTCATGTAATTTAGCATTTTCCAAAGTAAGTTTTTTTGTACTCCTAACTGTGTGATTGTTTCTTTTGTATGTGTGTGTG